GGCCTCAGCATGGCCGGAGAAGCGGTGCGTCGGTGCGCGCCCGGGATCCAAACCCGGGCCGCCAGCAGCGGAGCGCGTGCACTTAACCGCTAAGCCACAGGGCCAGCCCACCACATATATAATTTAGAATTTTATAGTAGCCACATCAAAAAAGTCAAAAGAAACAAGTGAAATTAATTTCAACGATGTATATTTTACTTAACCCAATATATCCCAAATGCTGTTTTTTCAACGTTCAGTCCTTAGTGTACAGCACAGAAAACACAGTGCTTTATCAGGGTTTTTAAAACCTGGATATACCAGGCTTGATTTCAAAGAAGCCCTGAGATGGGCTGCAGCCATGGTGGGCGTCCGCCACATGCCCAACTGTTCTCGTGGCTCCAGCGTCCAGGAGCTGCCCCTGCCTGACAACAGGGCACAAGACACGACCGCCCCACAGCGGCGCTGTGCCTAGAACTAACTTGCCAAAATGTTTTAAAGCCAAAGGTAAAGAGGGTTACCTTCAGTTTCCTCTCTTTTTCCTGCACGACAGCCCGGATAATGGTTAGTGAGGTGTAAGTGAAACTCAGCATGAGCAGCAGGGGAAGCTGGTACTGGATGGCGACGAGAAAGGGGTCCGAAATGAAAGGTGGGTAAGGGAACCTCTTTGCGATCACGGTGAGCTTCTCGAACAGCTGGTGCGTGGAGGTGTTTGCGTGGTACTGCATGATGGCTCTGTCCACGGCGTGCTGCACAGCCAGGAAGCCTTCTCGGATGTATCCTGAGTGCGGGAGCAGAGGACAATCCAGCACATGGAGTCAACGTGTCAGAAAAGCCACATCACGGGATGCTGCTCGCTTAGAGAGCCACGTGCATTGAGCTGTACCAAGGTCTCCCTGCTAATCGAGGCCACGGAGCGACATCACCTAAAGCCCCTAAGGTTTCCTTCAGTCTTCTCCTTTGCAGGGGCTGCCCTCATTCCTTGGCCCATGGCCCCTCCCTCCACCTTCAAAGCCAGCCATGCAGCATCTCTCTGACCCTGCTTCCATCATCACATCTTTCTCTGACCTTCTGCCTCCCTTGTCCACTTTTAAGGATGCTTGTAATTACACTGGGCCCACTGGGATAATCAACAATAATCTTGCTATCTCGAGGCCAGCTGATTAGCAACTTTAATTCCATCCACCCTTGAGTGACCATCTCACAGGGAGGCGGGCACCACAGCCCAAAGGCCACTACTATAAGACCTTCATGTGCTTTGTGGTTTCTCCCTGTGGGCCCCTTTTGACTCCCCAAAGTGGTTTGTAGTAAAATTCCTAAAGTGAAAAGGGCTTGGAGGAGTGATAAACTGGGGATATGGTATTTCAGTCCAGAGCTAGGCTTGAGAGAGACTGAGCCTAAGGAAGGAGCGGGCACAGTCTCAGTAGACAAAAAGGCAGCCTGGGCACCCTTATTCATAAAATACAGTGATGTTTAGAACATCTAATGTCCTCTAACACAAAATTGTTAGATGCCTGGGGTCCAGCCTCTAGAAAAAAGAAAAGCAATATGCCAAGCACACCCCAACATGGGGTTACCATGTCTGTGTGTTTCTACCATTTCCCTTAGGTTTAAGTCTCCTTATAGTCACGATTATAGTAGGTGCTCAATTAACGTTACCCATTGTTCTGCTGGGTGGGGCTTTAGTTCTCATCTTCACAACAAACCTGCAGAGCAGCTAACCATATCCCCATTGGACAGATGGGGCCACTGAGCCGGGGGAGTCGAGCCACACAACTGGTGAGGGGGCACAGCTGAGATGGGACCCTGGTCTCTTTGGCTTCAGAGCCAGTGTCTTTTCACAGCATCACACTGCCTCCCCCACGAAATATCCTGCCTGCTTTCTCACATGTTGCTCTCTTACGAGGCTTTGTCATGTTACCCAGAGTCTTCATTATCACAACTTCCATGGATTCTCAACACTCCGAGGAATGAAGCCATGGCTCTGTAATCAATCATTTCCCACTGCTGAAATTTTTATGACCATAAATAAAGCAATGGTGAACATCTTTGTGCATGTGGCTTTTCTCCTTCTTTCAAACTATCCCAGGGGCTAAGTTCTCATCGAGGGAATCAGTAGGTGTAAGGATGGACATCGGGGGTGGGATGGGGAGAACACTCGGCACATTACCCAGAGCCTCCTGGGCGCCATGCTCACGTCCTTGCCGTACCTCTTGGGCCTTCATGTTTTTCTAACTGACTGGACTGACGAACCCTTTAAAGAATGAGAATCATCACCCTTTGTCATTCGCCAAAATGGTTCCCTCATCTTCCATCTGCTTTTAAAATTGGTGTTATATCTTTTTCTTTTCTGGCAAATTTCAAGTTTGTACATAGTGAAATGTCCATCTTTTCCTTTGAGAACTTTTTTCTGTTGCTTTCAAGCTCAGGAAATTATCCCCACAAACAGGAGGGACAGTCTAGCCCCTGGGTCACAGCAGCCGGTCTCTCCCGTTGCTGGCACAGAGGGCTAGTGTGACAGCTGATGGGGCTTCTCCTATCCTCAGTTGGTGGCCTGTCCAGGGCTTCATTCTGGAGCCTTGCACACCTCACTTTGCCTTGCTCATCTTAGTTCCTCTTCCAGATTTAAAACCTTGCCTTGGAACATTATGCTGGTGACAGACCCTGGCACCAGCGATATGTCCCCCCGCCTGCCTGGCATTCTGTTTAGGGACATTCCTGGGTCTTCCCATCAAAACCTCTCACAACCTCTGCCTCCTGCAGTCCCGTGGAATCCTATGTTCCCTGCAACACCCTAGATGCTGCCTGAAGCCACAGTTGGGTCTTGGCCTGAGGGTGAAGTCTAGTCCTGGGCCCCAGTTACTGCTTGGCTAGCCCCAGCTTGGTTCCAAGATGTGACCATGCTTCAGAGGAGACAAACATGCCAACTGCCTGCCAAAGTCACATGGGACAGACCAGCACATGCACTGAGAGGGCATAGCTGGCCAAGATCCAACTTCCACAAACGTCCACTGACTCGACTAAACCACCGACAGTTACACCAGGATGACAGAGCTTACAGAGCCTATAAAACTGTACCCAGAGAAGGCCAGGAGAGAAGGGAAACATAAAACCAGGCCAAAAGATTCAACGCAAACTGAAGCTTCCTAAAAACCGAAACATAAATGTTTCATTCAAGAGCACGTGTTCTGGGAAACGGGGAGAGAGGCTCTGCTGTTTTCAAAGATTACTTTAGCCTTTCAGAAGCCAGTTTTACTGGATGTTTTCTTCCTCTCCTACAAAGAAGAAGACCAAATACTCCTGAAAAGTATTTCTGCAGAGAAATGCAAGATGGGTCCCCCCACGTGATTACCACCAGTCAGCACCCCAGGTGGTAACATGGCCGCTAAACATGCTTCTCACCAGGTTCTCCGCCGTCAGCGGACGCAGGTTCCCTCGGTCCTGGGTTTGGAAAAAGTGGAAAAAGGGAAGTGGTGTGCCATCCCTCCATCTCTTTCAGGAAGAAGGAGCCTGTCTGAGTCCACATGTAATTTCTCCGTGTGTAACTGAACCGTAAGTGGTATTTCACCTACGGAAACAAAGAGAACAACTGCTCTGAGAGATTCTGACAGGAGCAAACACCTGCACCAAATGAGAGTTTAGGAGACTCTCATTACCAAGAACCCACCACTCTCCCAGCCTCCCGCCAAGGTCCACAGGGTCTCGGGACGTCAGAGCGAGGGAGGACAGGCAGCCCCAGAGGGTCACCTCTGGGTTGTTGTTCACCACGCCTCTTGCCACCTACCAACACGAACTCTATGCATGAGGCGTCCCTGACAATCAGTGGAGGGCCACCAAAATAATGCTAGAGGGATTCGATAGTTTCCCAGGCTTAACGTCACCTGGCTAGCAAATAACTTTCTTTTTTCTTTTTTTTTTTTTTAAAGATTTTATTTATTTATTTTCCCCCCAAAGCCCCAGTAGATAGTTGCATGCCATAGCTGCACATCCTTCCAGCCGCTGCATGTGGGACCCGGCCCCAGCATGGCCGGAGAAGCGGCGCGTCGGCACACACCCGGGATCCGAACCCGGGCCGCCAGCAGCAGAGCGCACGCACTTAACCGCCAAGCCACGGGGCCGGCCACAAATAACTTTCTTTTTGTTTGTTTTAAATATATAACTGCAATTCTCACACCTCATATTTAAGTCCCAAGTATCTGCTACTTTCCCAACTATCCTCTTTGACTCCATCCAAAGAGGCCTGGGGACCAGGAATACCTTTCATATGAGAGAACATACAGGGACCTGTGGTGATGGTCTAGGGCCGCTTTCTTCAGGCAGGTGAGGTTTCTAAACTGTCTGGCCTGATGGGCTAAAACGTCACCAGGGCTCCCTCCTCGGGGACTGAGATGGCGATACTGGACCCAGAGGGAAAGTCGGGCATTTCCTCCCAGGCAGGCAGAGTGCTTTCCTGGCTGAACTGGTTCATGGGGGAGGACACGGCTTTGTGGGGCTGGAGTCCTCACCGCCAGCGGCAGGGGGTCCCTGCTGTGGTTGAAGGCATGCTCAAACACCACGGCAGCCAGCACGTTGGAGGAGCGGTTGTCGTACTTTATGTAGTCCTCAAAGTCGTTCTCTGAGCGAAAGCCGCGAGCTGTGGGAGAGCAGCGGAGCCGCGCGTTGCCCAATCGTCCATTCCACTTGACACATCTAGACGTTTCAGGTCATTTTCAGATACAAGACTGCAAACTGACAAGTTTATCTAGGGCTTTGTAAACCTTTCCTAAGACTCAAGGAGGCTTTTGTTTTGGCAGAGAGACAGGCTGCCGGGAGGACCAGCAGAACCTTGCCAACCCAGCCGGCCCTGGGTTTCTGGTGAGAGCTGGAAGCAGAGCTGGCAGCAATGCCCAGTCTACAACCGCCCTCCACGCGGGCAGCCACCCTGCACTGGGTTCTGCGGCCAGGGTCAGCCTCTCTCATAACCATAATAGCGTGTTTTAAAAATTTGAGTAGACACTAATGTATGGGTTATTAAACTGTTTCTCTATCACCCAGACCCCATTTCACATAAAAGGTTTTATTACTGTAATCATTTAGTGAGGGACCAAGGACTGTCCCCGAAGTGTCTGCTACACTGAATAAAACAAGCCACAAGAAGTATATGCCAAAATCAAGAGGGGAAAAAGAGGCGTAATATTTTTTATCCTGAAAGCAAACAGCTAGAAAAGGTGACTGGCACGTTTACTGGGAGTGTCCCTCAACAGGCTTCCTAATGACTTTTTTTAGAGCTGTCCTCCCAAAACCACATCCCAGAAAAGGTTCTTGGCACTGTGCACTCAAAACGCACTTTGCCCTTGTAACTGAAGAGCTCTCCTTGGGAATGTGGATGCCTACTCCCACACGATGGGGTGCGATTCCAGAGGCCGGTGCTGCTAAAGCTGTCACACACTTTACTTCACATGGCCCTCACAACCCTGGTCCCCGTTTTATAAGACATGACACAGAGTTGAGGGACTCCCCCACGGCGACACGGCCAGCCAGGAGATGTTGAGTCTGGACACTGGTGTGGCTCCTCACCTGGGTTCATCCCTGCCTCCCGGGCCTTGAGCCCCACAGCGACTGCCTCACCTCTCATGTTGATCACCAACGTCCTCCTGGCCGTCTCTGTGATGGTCTTTACAGCATCACTCTGGGATGGGATGTAGGCGAGCTCCCAGGTATCTCCTGGAGGAGGGAAGCTGAAGAATAGGGGCAGCTCCCGGATGGACTGGCCAGGGTATATGGTGGCGTTAGGCACGTTCTCCGACTGGATCTTCAAGCGAAGCCAAATCAGGATCCCAGAAAAGAGCAAGGGCAGGAAGAGTTCCAAGACTGTCACCAGCACCTTCCGCTTCTAGAAGAGAAATGGAAACTGCATGCTGATGGAGTGCAAGGCAGGGGCGCAAGGCTCATGGAGCCCCCTCCTCCAGGCTCCTCTCCTGCTCTGAGCCCCTGCCTCCCAGGGCGCCCACAAGATGGGCACACTCTTCTTCCTGCAGTGTCCCCGAGAGTTGGACGTACCTGCAAAGTGTAGTTCTTCCACAGCAGGAGCGCCAGCTTCCTGAGCACTGCCATCTTCTCACCAGAAGGGACGCTAGTTATGGACCAAAGACAAAAAGTTAGGGTGTGTGACGAAAATGTGAATTGTGAGTGTTTGGGGGAGGGCAGGGAGAGGCAGGAAGATTCAGTCCTGAGACACAAACTCTCCTCTCCATATTTCTTCTCACCTTCTTTTATACCATCTTCACTCAAAACAGCACCCCAGAGAGAAAGACGCCAGTTCTATTCTGTATGTTCAAAGAACACACACACTCTTTTAGGAAACTGACTTTGTTTCTTCCCGAAATATAAGATCAATGACAGGTTTTTATATGCAACGTGACAGCTGGAGTGGTATTCATCATTCAATAAACACTATTCAGATGTTCTCTGTAGTTTATACGAATGTGCTATTTCTTAGCAAAATATTCAGGCTGATGGAATTCCCCTCAACTGGCTTTACTCTCGACAATCATAGAACCAGTGAAACGAAACTCAGCTTAGCATCCTGGCTGTCGGGTGATTTCTAAGACTTGGAGAGGACTGTGGGGCAGAGGGGAGGAGAGGCCTGGGATGGGGGCCTGCTGCCCCTCGGGGGCCCTCATTGGCTTTGTTGACCCAGGAGTAGGACACAGTAGGCAGATAGGTGGGTGCAATGATGGAGCATGCCCTCTGGCCTTGAACCCTAAGGACCAGCTTTGCCTGCTTTGACTATGGGCATTGGTATGTGAGCCTCCACATGACAGTGGTCATTCGCCTCCAAAGAAAACTATCCTATGTCACGTATGAATGTTACATGTGAATCCAGCACATATGACTGGGAAAGTCTGCTGTGAGATTACCAAACACAAGGGACAGCAGAAATAAGAGCAGAGGTTTATAAAGGTTTCCCTCAATTTAGCAAAATCCATTTCACTAGATTTCAAGTGTGAGAAGCAGAAACATTGAGCCCAAAGTTCATTAGATGCTAACCTGCTAGGGAAGGAGGAGGGCTGAATTAGCTCAGGAAGAACCCACAATGCCCAGAACACGGAGGCACCACGTTCCAAAAGCTGCAGGCATGAAGGCCGAGGCGAAGACCAGGTTGCTCCGACCTAAAGTGGGCAGCAAGGGCGGCGGAGGCAAGGAGGCCCTGGAGATCCTGGTCACCGTCCACAGCCCAAGGATGTAGGTGGAGCGAGAGGAGCCCTTCACAGCTCACAGACCTTCAAGAGGGGAGAGGCCTCCGTGACTCACAGGGGAGCAGTTCTGAGTTCAATGGATCGACTCCACCTTCAGGCTGATACTAACTCAACACCATCCACCTGGCAGGTTAAGCCAGCATGAAGACTCAGACAAGCGGCTAGTAAATCATTCATCAGTCAACGTGTGCTAACACTACTGTCCAAAGAACCTGCCTCAAGACCCAGCGCACGCAGAGGGAGAGCTAGTTTTACTTTTGGCTTCAGTCAGTTGCAGATCATTTCCATTAAAGCTCTTTTTTAAATTAAACTCTTGCTTTTTTAAAAAAGATGTGTCTGTCCATATCCATCTAATAATAGTTACTCAAAATTTATGCTTTAAAGGGTAGTCAATAAATATTTGTAGAAAACACAACTGTAAGAGATTACTTAATTTAAAATACGGCTTTTAATTAACCACGTGGTTAAAATGTGAATAAATTAAAGCTAAAATAATATGAAGTGCTATTAAGTAGCAACAATAAATTATCCAAATTCTTTTTAAATTAACAAGGGGGAAAAACTATCTTAAAATCAGTTGTAGACAGTTAATAAAAGAGCAGTGATTTAATGACACACAGGAAGGCCTGTGGTTTATGAATGGTTTCTAGAAGTGGTTTAGCTAAGAGGGGAAGGCAGTGCCTGCAGCTGGGTTCAGTCATCTCCACTGTAGGTGGACAGGCGCCTGGCCTGACTGAGATGACTGAGATGAACGTTCTTCCTCTGCCAAGAGGGAAATGTAAAGGGTCACAGTTCAAAGAAGGCTTCTGGCCATGGCAGACAATTTCCTTTTCTGGAAAAGTCTAGCCAAGAAAGGACACATCTCATGCCTAATCCTGTCTCTCTAGGCCGAGGGTAGGGGGAGGGCAGAAAGACCCTCTACCTTCCTACGAGGAGGCTGAGGCTGGAGGGCAGTGTCTCGAAACTGACCTGAGTCCTGGGAGAAGCTCCTGGCCGTGGTCTTCCTCCGGGCTACTGGAGGTCTGGCCGGAAGGAAGCGGCCCTGCGCAGAGGGCTCAGGGGTGGGGCCAGCAGGCCTCTCGAGTGCAGCAGGGCGGCCTTGGGGTTCTGGAACACTGATGCCTCACTGGACATCAGGAGGGGCCCAAGGCTCGCTGGCATGACTCTCCGGCACCTTTGGGCAAATGGAGGGCGCTTGAGCATAATTAGGAAAATAATCGTAAAACACCTCTCACCAAGTCAGAAAATCAAAAAGCAAAATAGATCTCAAGTCTGTTACTTAGAGCAGATCCAATAACAAATGGGGATTTAGCAAAAGAGAGACTGCAGTGGAGGCTCTTTGTTCTCTCCTGGGACATTAAAATACAGGGAGTCTTTACATTATATACTTTTATACCTATAGAGCTTCCGAATCCAGCACTGGCTTCTGGGATCATCACCTTATTAGAGAAGAAGAAACCAGGAGGAAGTACCTGGCCCAGGTGACACAGCAAGAAAGCCACAGAGTCAGGATTTGAACCTCTAAGTCCTTGTTTTTACCACGACACCACTACATCCTTGTGTATCCTAAAAGCTGTAAATATCTTTATAAAATTTGTATATATTGGTCCCAGAACACAACATTAGAAATCAAAAGGAAAAAATACCCCTGGAGCTCCACCACCTTAACAGGTATTTTATTGATTCCTGTCCCCCCACAGCACCCAGCTTGCTGCTTTGTGTGTGCTTGGCTTTATATGAAGTCTCACTGAATGCTATACTTGCATCTGTTCTGTTCGAGCAAAAACGAATTTAAAGGAGGAGATTCCCGGAATTACAAAATTTGGAAAGCTTTCTGGTTACGAAAGCAAATGTACACGAGGAAAGGAAGTTAAAGTTCCTTAAAACACTTAACACCGCGGCCCAGAGAGTCTCCAGAAGTGGCAATGGCTGAGATCCAGAACCAGCCCAGGCGCATTCTACTCTAAGGCAAACACTCGGGCTCTGGCCTCTGGCAAAGCCGCCCCCGCTGCTCCACAAGGGCGAGTCTGAGAAGGTCCCCCCGCAGAGGCTCACTTCACTCCTCCCTTGCAGAGCCAGAAAGGGAAGGGAAAGCTTTCTTTCTACTAAAAGGCTTGTTTGCTTACTGTTAAAATATTAAACATTACACAAATCATTGGATATTTCAATGTTTGCTTTTCAGGGGAGCAGCTGAATTGGTCCAGAGTGAGTGCATACTGCGGGCTACTAATTTCTGAGAACTCTCTTGATGGCACACAGGATTCCTCTAAAAGTTTTCCAGTAACTTTCGTTAGTTTAAGAGTGATGGGTCATGCCAGGTCCCAAGCACCCATGGTTGTGCAGGTGCCCACTGCTCAGCCACACTCTTTAGGGAATTGCGAGGAGTCCAGACACCTCCATGGCTTGATCTGTGGGGTTTTTTCACTATGGGCTTGAATCTGCACTCCAATTTCTATGTGCCTGTGCAAAAGAAGTTTTCATTTCTGCATATATGGAAGAGAATGGTGTTAAGGCTTTTAGAGGGGTCACTGCTGAGCAGCCCTCAACACCAGCAAGCAGAAGTGGACAGGGCCCCAGTGCCAGGCACACACCTCATTGTGTCATGTATTCTTGTCGTATCCTGAGCTCGGTGTACCTCCTTCCACAGAAGCCTCAGTCTGCAGAGGCCTGGAGGAAGGCATGGGTGGGAAGCAGCGGGTCTTAATCAAGCCACAGGCAGACCTCCTGATGTCACACAGAGAACAGATGACCACAGCTCTGCCCTCTTTACCACAGGGGTGAATAGACAGATGGACTTGTTGGCGGCGCTGGCCAGGACTCAGCACTTTTCCTGAGGACCGAAGTGGGTGAGAACCCATCTCTGCTAGGAAGGCATTTCCTTATCGACACAGGGAATCCACAACAGCCAGCAGTATTAACGGTCTACGTGTGTACACACTAAAGAAGGCATGATAGGTACTTAATTAACGTTTGTGGTAGAATCTGTGGCCTTTTAGGATACACAAGACAAAAAGCATTTATTCATCCAACAAACATTTGCCAAGTGCTTACTGTGGGGTGGGCACTTGTCCCAGGTACAAAGGACTTGGAAATGAAAATCACAATGTTCTCGATCCAAGGAGTTTGCAGTCTGCAAATGCTTGCATGTACTGTAACTGCTATAACTGAAGCCAAATAAGCATCGCGATATTCTGGAGAAGACCAGAATTCGTTGTGTGCATGTGTGTCTGTGTGTATGTGTAAGACAGAGAGCTCTGGGAAGGCTCCCAGGAGGAGGTGGCATGGGAGACTGGTCTGGAGTTTCTTGTTAGTTGGGGTGGGGAGGGCATTACAAGATCATGGAGAAGTGAAAGAATGTGTGTGAGGAACAGCAAGCAGTTCTCAGTGGCTGGGGAGGGAGCAGCAGGGAACGAGCCAGAAAGGGAAGTTGACCAAGTCCTTGTATGCTGAGCCAAGAAGGGAGCTGGGGCAGGGAAAGGGGGGTGTCCAAATGTGCAGTACTGCTGCTCAAGGGTGTTTGTTTTGCTTAATCTTTTACCTAGTACCTGATCTTTCTTTTTTCGGGGGTGTACAGTAAATATGTGAAAATGTTTAACTCAATGGATTCTCCAGGTGAAATGTCCAAATATCAATAAACACTGTAAAAAACAGGCTGAAAATAGCAGGCACATTTGTAGAGTATGGTCCTGGCCAGTGAACCCCACTACTGGTCTCCAAGTGGGGTGAGCAAGACAATCTGCTGGAGTAAAGAAATGGTGAGAAATTCTACCTATAAATATTTTTCTTTAAAAATGAGAAAATAATTAGCTTTACTAATATTGAATACAAGGACAGAGCCTGGCACTCTTGCTGGCCTGTGTGTCAGCAGTCATGGGCCCCTGACGGAGGAGGATGGGCTCTGGGACTCAGGGGTGACAGGAGGCCCTTGCCCACTAGTTTACTTTAAGCCTCTCAGACGTGTTGGAGTTTACATGCTGCTGGATATCATGGTTGTAGTCAATTAAAAAAATAAACAAGACTCTTAGATAGCCGAAGCTTTGTAACACTTTGCAGTGATTCGGGAAGTGACTGTAAATACCTTTTGTGACATGGCGGTTCACTGGTTATCTCGTGACTTAGAACTTAAGAAGGAAATACATGTTTTCTGTCATGAAAAGTTTCAAATCTGGAGACTTTTGTTTTCAACGATAAATAACCGCAGCAGTGTATCAGCTAGCTTATTTATTTATTTTTTTTCCAAAGCAAATCCATTCTTTTTTTTTTTGAGGAAGATTGGCTCTGAGCTAACATCTGTTGCCAGTCTTCCTCCTTTTTTCCCCCAAAGCCCTAGTAGATACTTGTATGTCATGGTTGTACATCTTTCTAGTTGTTCTATGTGGGATGCCGCCTCAGCATGGCTTGATGAGTGGTGTGTAGGTCTGCACCCAGGATCCGAACCGGCGAACCCTGGGCCGCTGAAGCAGAGCGTGCAAACTTAACCACTACGCCACCGGGCTCACCCCCTAGCTTATTTTTTTAAATCAATACACTCAAATCTCTCCTTCCAAGAAAAAGATGACAAGGTGTGAGAGTTACAGCTTTTCAAAATAATCTGTGCCAAGAACCAAGCTTTAACAAAAACGGGTATTTAGACATGCTTCCACAGTTGTATGACTGTGTTGCCGAGGATGCTGCAAGAGCACCGTCTACACCAACACTTACACCTGCACACCCAAAGCTCTGGGACCCGGAATTCCCACCTTCCCTGAGAGCCCCTGAATATTTACCAGCCCAAATTCATCAAGAGGCCTCGCATGACTGCCGAGTGGGAGTGAGAACAAGTGCCCAGACCCACAGCACAGCCCACGTGCCTTCACGAGGTGTATCGTGCTCCCCTGTGACCGCCTCAAGAATCAGGAACTGAAAGAAACAGAACTCAGAACCAGACCTTTAAGTGCTGGGACTTAGGTTTCACCAAGAGTTTATAAATGAGACGTAGACCTGATCACACGGCTTCCTTTTAAAAACAGCATATGTGTATATGATAGATTTTGTACCATTAATACATAGAAAAAATTTAATCATGTTCACTTTGCCTCTCATCCCTTTAAAAGGTATTTGTGTATATTTCTATGTCCATAATATTCAGGACAGTAGTATATGGCTATATTTTATAAATAAGTAAAACATATGGGGGTACATGTTCAAATTCTTTTACACATAACAGTAGATAAGAAAAAAGCTTGTGGATGACTTATGTACACAAGTGGCCCCTCCGTGGATAAGGTGGGATCAAATCCACAAGCCTCAGTCATTGTCTGAGAGCCCCACAAGGTGAGGTTCAAGGCTGTGGTCATTTGCATCGGGAGGCCCAGCTGGAGACCTAGTTTGCTGGTCTCACACTCAACACCACCACCCTCTCTGTCCAGGGTCAGGTGGCCATCTCCTTAGGATCACATGGCTCTGAATTTACACTGAAGCTCCTGGCAGGGGTTGGTGGGGTATATTTTTAAGTCAAAAGTGTGGTCCTCAGGGGGCTATCAGGAGAGAGTTCCACAAAATCTGAGCCGCCAGCTTTCCTAACCCCTGCTGCAGCCTCTGTCCCATTCCCCATTCTGCTGGCCTCTCTAGGTGTAGGAAATGAGGTAACGAGACAATGGAGAATCCCCTGGGGGAGAGGTAACCACGGATCTTCTGTAAGGAGCAAGCCAGCAGCAAGCTCATCACTCAGCTCCCGCAAAGGGGCCTGTCTGCCACTGACTCCAAATCTCTTCAAACTCGGCAAACAACTCTGAGCCACTCGGGGGGACAGGCACTGCCCAAGTCTCCCAGGACAGGCACTGACATGCCCTACACTTTCCCACGGGTGCCTGGGCCTTCTGTGATTTTGTTCTCTTGGAATAGCACCCACCATACCTGTCTCTACTTTCTGAAATCCTACCTATCGTTTCCCAGCCCAGTCCTACCCCACTGTGAAGCAGCCACTGACAACCCTAGTTCAGGGGTTCTTGTTTTGGCCACACAATGAAATCTTCTGGGGTGCTTTAAGGCAGAAACTGATGTCTGAGGCCCACCCATGGAGATCCTAGGCTCTGGTCCGGACATGGGACTCTTTCCTGGGTGATTCTAAAGTGCAGCCAGGGTTGAGACCTTCTGCTCTTGTTGAAAGCCATCCCTTCACCTCTGGACGTCTGCAGCACCTTTCCCAGATGTCTCATGTGGCACTCATCTTGCTCTGTTTTATGTCAGTTACTTGTGATTAAATCATCTCTTTAGTTCCATCCTAAGTAAATCATCTCTTTAGCTCCATCCTAAGGTCCCCAAGAGCAGGGACTACGTCCAATTAGTCTTGCAATCGTGCACAGAGCCTTGCCAATCTTTCTCTCCAGAGTTCTAGAATGCTTCCCCCTCAACAGTCTCAATACAGAGGAGTCTAGTGTCGTCTCGGGAAGCAGGCCTGGAGAAGAAACTGTCAACTAGGGAGTCTTACCTGGGCCTTCCCAGTGGAGACTAAGTCAAAATAGGTTCCCATGAGACTGCCTGGCACACGCACTGTGGAAGGCTACTGTCTTTTTAAAAACAACTTGAGCTACCCTCTCTTGTTCCAAAAGGCTGTCTCCTCAGAATGGTGGCAGATCACCTTAGAGAGAGAACGATGTCATCCTCTTTGTCAGATATAATAAGCAAGCATTCAATTTAATTCTCTAAGAAGTTAAAAAAAAGAGGAGGGCAATGACCAGGGCACCCGTTTTTACCTGTTTTCCTTTTCTCTTACATTTCCCACAACACAAACTTTCTAAAGGAAAACAGCCTTAATCTTTTCAAGTTTACAAAAGGCAGTATCAAAACGTTCTGAATCCAATGTTACAGCTGCTCAGGAGTTTAACTCTTCCACTTGCACCTTGCCTGGGTCTCTACACTGTTACATGGTCTCAGCCACTCATTTAACCAGCGTTTCTTGAGCGCCCGTCATGTGCCAGGTGCTGGCGATGTACTGGGAATGCAAGCCCTGACAAGATGCAGTCCTGCCTTCAGGGAGCTCAAAGTTCAGGAGAAAAAGGGGCAAACAAACAGAAATAATCCTATGAAGCAACTGCTTTAATTAGGCGACGTCCAACGAAGGGAGGCGGGGGCATTCATTCACGCAACAAATATGCACCAAATATACATCTGTCCTAAGTCCTCCTGCAGGAGACAGTCCCTGTCCTCAAGAAGCTTATAGTCTACTGCGAGAAAGAGCCAATACCTATGTAAACACAAATTCATACCAAATACAGACTGACCATGGGCACGAGGGCTGTTGCAGGCCCCTCTGCCTAGACCAGGAGTTCCCCTTCCTTCTGTCCCCCAACTCCCACCACTAACAGTGGACCACTGGACCCCCATTCTGAGGCACATGGGAAGGAGCGATTTGGAGCAGGGTCGACTCCGGTATGGGGAAGCATTCCCACCCACCCCGGGAATCTCTGCAAGGAGGGATGAGCCAGCAGCATCCCTGGCGGCCCTGCCCCCGGTCCCCACCCTCGGTTCCCCAGCCTGGGACGCTGCATGGCTCCAGCAGGCAGGCGCTCAAAGTGTCTGCGGGATGAACGCCAGCGGGTCTTAATGTGGTAAATGTCTGTCCACCCTTCTCGGCTTCCCCACAAAGGATTCCGCAGCGATTCTAACTCCGCGAAGGTTAAGTTTCTCTGAGAAGGTCCGCCGTTAGGGAATCGCCTGCGGGGATAGGGACACGCCCAAATGCTAGGGCTGGAGAGGAAGCCTGAGTCAGGGCGGCCTGGCCCTGCAGGGAGATGCACCTGATGGGCCGGCACGGGAGGGCGCGGCCAGGGCGAGGGCGGGGGCGCTGCGTGGCCGCGGGAGGGGCCGGAGTAGGCCGGCCGGGGCTGGAGGCGGCCCGCGGTGTGGAGGACGGCCCGGGCGGGGAAGCGACCCCGGAGCCGTGACCCCCGGGGCGAGCAAACGCGCGCGCGGCGGGTCCCGGCGGCACTCACCGACCCTCGGCGCCAGGGCGGTGGTGGCCAGCGTGCTGCCCTCTCGCGGGGGTCCCCTCCCTTGGCCCCCGGCTCCGCTCCAGCTTCGCGGCGGCCGCTGCTGACAGCTGCTAAGCGACCAAGGCGGGGATGGGGCGCCTGCGACCCGCGACCGGCAGACCTACCCGGCCGCTCGGGCTCCCGCAGGTGGCGCGCGGGCCGGCCGGTTCACGCATGCGCAGTGAGCCGCCCCTGCGGGTGCCCGTCCCGCCCTGGGACGCCCCGCCCCCGTCCGCGCCTGCGCAGTGCCCCGCGCGCCGGCGCCACGGCCGGCAGGGGGCGCGCGACGCACGGACCTGGGGGAGCGTTTGGACCCGGGAGTAGAATGGTGTTGTCCACGTGCACTTCCGAGGCGCTGAAGTAGTTGTCGCTGGAACCTCGGCCTGCGTTGGCCGTCGTTTCATTTCCCCTCAGCACTGTATTTCCTTGGTCGCGGGGCCCTTTCTCCTCACGGAGAGGGCGCGTGCCCCTCGCTCGACGGCTGCTGGGATGGGCGAGGCCTTGGGCGCGGGACGGAGGGTGAGGAACTTTCTGGAAAATGGCCATCCGTGAGGGTGGGCCGGAAGGCCTGGCATCCTGGGGTATGGCCACGGTTATGGGGCGCAGTCCAGAAGAGCGGAGAGGCCTCGGGGGGCCCGAGGCCGTGGTGGGGTCTCCTCGGGCAAGAGGGTCGCGGGTTAGGGTCGGGGTTCCCACAGAGGAGAGGGTCGCGAGTTAGGGTCGGGGTTACCTCGGACTAGAGGGTAGCAAGGTTGGATCGGGGTCACCCTGGCGGGAGGGTCGTGAGGCAGGGGCAGGGACGCCTGAGGCAGAGAGGGTCTCGAGGCCGGGCAGGGGTCACCTGGGTGGGAGAGTCTCGTGGCGGCGGCGGGGCGAGGGTGGCCTGGGCCGGAGTGGGCTGGGCGGGGCGGCGCGGGGCCAACAGTCGCCGCGGCCCGGCCCCCTCGGGTGCCCGAGCGCCCGGGTCTCGAGCACCGCCAGCGACCCAAACCCGCCTGTCCGCGCTTGGCTGCCCTCGGCCCGGCCGGTGGCGGTTGCTGACAGCGATCGCTGGGCCGGAGCGGGGCGGGCCGCACCTGGGGCGCCGCCTGCTCACCGGCCGGCTCTGGTCCCCGTCTCCAGCGAGCCTCTGGGATCAGGACGCGACTGACTGAACCGTAAAGTAATGACCCGAGTCAGGAGGCTTAGTTCTCCTGCTGCCCAAAGACTCCTTATGGATTAGTGATCGAGAATCTCCATGGCCCATTTTATCTTCATAACTCCTTTTATTATCTAAAGTGGCGTTATTTGCTTGCTTGTTTGCCTTTCTTCCCTCTGCCCTCACCGGAAAGTGGGCTCCAGGAGCAAAGGGACTTTGTCTCATTCATGGCTACATCCCAGGGTCCTAGAATGCCCAGCACAGAGGAGGCGCTTGGTAAATATTTGTTGAATGAAAGAGTCACAAAGACCTGGCTTCAAATCTTGACTGGACCCCTTAACTGATGTAGACGTGTCATTTTACTTTTCTGATCCTCAATTTCCTATCTCTAAAATTAAAATGGTAATAATGATAGTAATAATACCAAACTCAAAAGTATTTTGTTTTTTTAGGGTCAAATGAGAAAATGCATAAGTGCTCATCACAATGCCTGGCACATAAATGCCAAATAAATGGTAGTATAATGTGAGTACAACTAGAGGTTTAGACAGCCTGGTCTTTGTAATGAGCATATAGAAAAAAACAACATTTGAAGGCAATTACACGGTGGGTGGAGGAGAGGATTATTAATGTGTTGCCAACATCTTAAAAACCCTCTCTCCGCATCATTCCTCACAAACTGCACTGCCTCCCTCCCAAGCAGAGTTTCTGTCAGAAAACTCGGTGAACCTGACTGACTGGTCTTTCTCTTCATCCTGCCTCTTCCGCATTCAGTCTTGTTTCTTGCAAGAACTAATCCTTGCCATTTCCAACTTAAATTGGTTACAGCTTGAAGTTTTTCCCAACCCTTTCTAAACCTGATCCCAGTTCTGCATAACCAAATCCAGGGACGGAACTGGCTGACTCAGAATTTCTCTTAGATAGAAGATATTGAAGAAGAATGACCACGCGGAACAAGACAGACAACTGCAAAGAGTACTAATTTTATATCTTTGTTCTTAATGATGTTAGGGTGTCTGCTGTTCTAATTATTATTATCATAATCACGAACTGAGAGGGTGTGAATGTTGCTAGCAAAATAAGATTGTTGTGTGCAAAGATTCCAGGCTCTGGACTCCTGTACAAAAACAATAGCCCACAGTGGGCTGATCCCTTTTGATGCTCCTCATTACTGAGAAATTCATCGAATTCCTACTCAAGACCCATCATTGAAAAAACAAACCAAACCTAGATACTCCGTCTAATCTTCTCCCTCCAAATGGAGACCCAGATAAGGGTCATGGTTTGTTCAGTCACACAGTAGAGCTGAGACTGGAACTCAGGTGTTCAGGTTCTCCGGCTCTTTAACACTGGTGCATAAGTTACTCGACATTCGTATACCATCAATATGTGCTGAAAAATTGCACGGTATACTCCTTGGGGTTACCGTGGCTCAGACATTTCTCAGGATTGATGGCAAAAGTTAAAGTGGATGGTGACACTCACAAACAAATCTCATGGCTTTATGAAAGGCAGTAAACTTAGTCATTACACTAGTTGGCTGGTATTTATAGATATATAGATATATACAGTATATATATGCATTTTTTGAATGAAACCAGTTAGCTCCTATATATGTATTTTTTTGTACGGTAGTGCCCAAGTTGCTGGTATTCAATGCAGAGTTTAGAATAAGGCTTCTGCAGTTGCCCATAGGAACAATGTTATCATTGGATGCATTCTAGACCAAGGGCTGTACACTGCTACTTCATTCAGTGATTGAGAGCCATTACATTGTTGTGGTTAAAATTGGTTATGGACTCTGGCCACACAGCCTGCAATTGGATCCCAGCTTTTAATGTCTTACTTCACCTTTCTGTACCTTGGTTTCCTTGTGTAAAATGGGGATCATATAGTACCCACTTCACGGGATTGTTGTGAGAATTTGACACATCAAAACATATAAAATACTTAGGGGGTGCTTAGCACTTAGCAAGGGCTCAGTTTCCAGTTTTGGGAAGATTATGAGCAAAACCTTCTATAATCATTTGTGTACAGGTTCTTTTGTAAAAGTAAAATTTTTACATTTGAAAATGAAAATTCTCATTTTTCTTGGGTAAAAACTTAGGAATGGGATTGTTGGGTTGTATGGAAGTGTATGTTTATAAGAAACTGCCAAAGTGTTTTCCCAAGTGGCTGTGCCATTTTGCATTGCCACTGGCGATATATAAGAGTTCTAGTTGCTCTGTAACTTTGCCAGCACTTTTAAAAAAATTTTAGCCATTCTTGTAGCTATGTAGTAGTATTTTATTGTTCACATTTGCATTTCCCTAATGGCTAATGATATTGAGCATCTTTTCATGGGCTTATTTGCTGTACATATATCCTTTTTGGTGAAGCATCTTCAAATTTTTTGCCCATTTTTTAAAAACGGGTTGTTTGCTGACTGTTGAGTTTTGAGAGTTGTATATATTCTGGATACAACTCCTTTGTCAGATAAGCGATTTACAAATATTTTCTCCAGTCTCTGGCTTGTCTTTTCACTCTATTAACAGTCTTTTGCAGAGGGTTTTTAATTTTGAAGTCCAATTTATCAATTTTTATTTTATGCTTTTGTTAATGCAAGGTCACAGATATTCTCCTGTTTTTTTTCCTAGAAGTTTTATAGTTTTAGGTTTTGCATTTAGGTCTATGCTCTATTTTGAACTAGTTTTGTATAATGATTGAGGTATAGATCAAAGTGGTATTTTTTCCCCATACATGTATTCCAGTTGTTCCACCAACATCTGTTAAAAAAACTATTCTTTTTTCATTGAACTGCACCTTTGTCAAAAATTGACAATATTTGTGTAGGTCTATTTCTGGACTCTCTTTTCTGTTCTGTTGATGTGTGTTTATATTTGATCTTTTAGCCCAGGGTTTGGCAAACTTTTTTCTGGAAAGGCAGATTTTTTAGGCTTTGCATACCAAGAGACAAAATTGAGGATATCATAGATACTTGTTATATAAGGGACAAAAAAATTTCCACAAAGTCTTTATTAGTGAAATTCAATATATTAATTGAATACAGTTTTTTTGTAATATGTATCTACTAATGAGAAAAATAGAGTTCCTTTTTATGGGATAACATATTGCTTAGCTGGGGTTCAAAGGTAGTGTTCTCTATCATCAATATTGATTGCAAATGTTCGTCTGTTAATACTGATCTGTAACGAGATTTTGTGTATTTCACCATGAATATATGATTTTAGTTGAGTGCATTCATGGCTTGAAAGACATTGATAGAATTCTATTAGGTTCTTCTCTTGATATTTGCCTTTTAACATGTCATTACATTACAGAATAATCACATCCAATTGAAGGTTAGGTGGAAGCTCCTCGATTGCACGGTTAAATGGATTTTGAAATATGAAAAGTTCCTTTGCACTTACATTGAAGTCTGAAAAAGTGCTGCTGGAACAGTATTTTGAGCTTGGAAGATGTATTTGCTGCAAATTTGTGTGGGAATGGAGATTTCACTTCTTGTTTTGTCTTTTGACAGTATGGGAAGTGCTTAAAGCAGGTGTCCATTACTTGTGATCCAAACAACATTGGTTCTCATCAAAATGACTGTACCACAGTATAAATTTCACATACACACTGTAAAAGCTAACTTCAGAAGCTATTCAGTGTTCAGAAATAGCCGTTGGGTGCAGTTCTTCCAACCATTTAAAGGTATCAAAACCATGCTTAGTTTGCAGGCTGTAGAAAAATGGGTAGTGGGCTGGATTTGACCCATGGGCTGTAGTTTGCCTGCCTGTGCCTCAGCTAATACCATATTGTCTTGATTAGTGTAGCTTTATAGTAACTCTTGAAATGAGGTAGTACAAATCCTCTACTTTTATTCCTTTTAAAAAATTTTTTTGGTGAGGAAGATTGGCCCTGAGCTAACATCTGTTGCCAGTCTTCCTCTTTTTGCTTGAGGAAGATTGGCCCTGAGCTAATATCTTCCTCTACTTTTGTATAT